AGAGGTAAATAGAGAGCCTACATCCTGGGAACAAATCTTTATTCCTCACACTTCAGATAGAGCCCTAATATCCAGAGTATACAAAGAACTCAAAAAATTAGACAATAAGAGAACAAACAACCCAATCAACAAATGGGCCAAGGACCTGAACAGACACTTCTCAGAGGAGGACATACAATCAATCAACAAGTACATGAAAAAATGCTCACCATCTCTAGCAGTCAGAGAAATGCAAATCAAAACCACCCTAAGATACCATCTCACTCCAGTTAGATTGGCAGCCATTATGAAGTCAAACAACAACAAGTGCTGGCGAGGATGTGGGGAAAAGGGTACACTTGTACATTGCTGGTGGGACTGCAAATTGGTGCAGCCAATTTGGAAAGCAGTATGGAGATTTCTTGGAAAGCTGGGAATGGAGCCACCATTTGACCCAGCTATTCCCCTTCTCGGTCTATTCCCTAAAGACCTAAAAAGAGCATGCTACAGGGACACTGCTACATCGATGTTCATAGCAGCACAATTCACTATAGCAAGACTGTGGAACCAACCTAGATGCCCTTCAATAGATGAATGGATAAAAAAATGTGGCATTTATACACAATGGAGTATTACTCTGCATTAAAAAATGACAAAATCATAGAATTTACAGGGAAATGGATGGCATTAGAGCAGATTATGCTAAGTGAAGCTAGCCAATCCCTAAAAAACAAATGCCAAATGTCTTCTTTGATATAAGGAGAGTAACTAAGAACAGAGTAGGGTCGAAGAGCATGAGAAGAAGATTAACATTAAACAGGGATGAGAGGTGGGAGGGAAAGGGAGAGAGAAGGGAAATTGCATGGAAATGGAAGGAGACCCTCAGAGTTATACAAAAGTACATACAAGAGGAAGTGAGGGGAAAGGGAAAAATAATATAAGGGGGACAAATGAATGTCGGTAGAGGGGGCAGAGAGAGAAGAGGGGAGGGGAGGGGAGGGGAGGGGGGATAGTAGAGGATAGGAAAGGCAGCAGAACACAACAGACACTAGTATGGCAATATGTAAATCAATGGATGTGTAACTGATGTGATTCTGCAATCTGTCTATGGGGTAAAAATGGGAGCTCATAACCCACTTGAATCAAAGTGTGAAATATGATATATCAAGAACTATGTAATGTTTTGAACAGCCAACAATAAAAAATTAAAAAAAAAGGTAAGCAAGACAACCTCAAAGAAGAAAAGTCTTTAAATTGAATAAACCCTGCTTTAGGAAAATTTCATATTACTCTTATCCTCTCTCCCATTTTTTTTAACCAATTGATGAACTATTTAGTCAAAACCTAGGAACTGACTTCTGATTCACTTTGGGAATCATTGTCCTGAATTCTCCACATTACAGAATCCTCATCAACAACTTGAGAATATGAAATCTGGAAATTTTTTCACCACTCTTGAGACAGGTATCAACAGAGGCTACAAAGCATAATAAGATGACTTTTGCAGAGGGTTATTAAATACTGATCACTCTGTTAATCTTGGGCTCTGTAAGTCTTGGGGGACGTATATGTGTATGAGTGTGTTTGATCTTTCTAATGAGCTCCCTAAGCTCGCTAAAACTCCCATTAAAAGTGCTTTTCATACCACCTTTATGCTTTTCAGACTGGAAAAGCTAAGTGTTATTTGCTTCAGGGTTTCTACTATTGGATAAATAATTTGATGTTTTATTTTTAGTCAACCAATAATTCTGTCTTTAACATATAAACGTGTGCATCAGGCAGTAGGAAAGGATTGCTTTTTGTCAGCCATAAGAGGGATCTGCGGGCTGGGGTCATGGCTCAGAGGCAGAACACGCACCTAGCATGCGTGAGGGACTGGGTTCAATCCTCAGAACCACATAAAGTAAAATAAAGACACTGTGTCCACCTATAACTAAAAAATAAAAATATTACACAAAGTGAGCAATTTCTAAGAATATCAGTCTCTGTGCAGGATCCAGGTAAGTGTCTAGCTTTTTTATGGCAACAGTGTCATGTCTAATAGGAGGACATTTGGAGACAGTAACAGTACCACCCCCATACAACATTTAGCTTTACTTGGGAACATTCTTTCTATCATACTCTCCAGTTGGTCATGTCCTTCTAATAACTTTTCTAGCAATCCTGCCTTGTCACATCTTTATGACTTGGGTCACAGAATCTGTGGGAATGATTCCAGGTATAAATGTAAGCAACATTGATGCAAGCGTCTCCCCGGGTTTCCATGACTCTGAACTGTTTGCTTCCCTGAAATCCTCTGGTTTTTGCATTCATTGGTATTTCTTGTCTTGTTGAGAACCAGTCTTCACATAGAAGTCTCCAAGAGATAAAAATAACAAAGGAAGACATGATCCCAAGTAGAGTGTTCATTTTTTCACAGAATGTTAAACATATTTCTAACTTCTTGTTTATCTTGAATGAATATTGTTTAGACAATAGGAAACAAAAATTATCCACTCATCCCAAGTAGCCTTTGTTCATTGCTACTAGTCTTTCATGCCTTTATATTGTATTGTATTGCTAGAAAATCAATCTTTGAAAGGAATATCCTTGATGTCCCATCTTCTCCAAAAGAGCCCAACATTTTTAATCTGCCTCAAAATTTTCGATACAGAGACACAAATGTTTAAAAGCCTGGCCAACCACAAATGTTTAACATATTTTTATCATTCAAAGCAAGATGAAGGACCTGGCATGAACAGGAGACCTGAGTCCATCTTCTTACCAAGATGGCATTTCCATCTCCCCATATTATGTGCCTTTCTATATTTAATCATATTTTAAAAAAAAATGTACCACATTAAATTTTGATTAGTGCTCTTAGATAACAAATCTTTACATTTATTATTCTAGTTGATCATAACAATCTGAAAAAAATAAAAGGTATTCTAATTCTCACTTCACAATTTAGATGAGAGATTTACAGCAAATAGCTTTCCTAATGTTGCAGGCTGCTCAGCAGAGCAGTCAGCCCTTGAACTTAAGGCTCTCCTGACAACAAAACCTTCATGTTGCTTTGCTGGGAAGAATACCAGTTCACCTTGTTAAGCTCTTTTACAAATTTTTGTTATCAAGTAGGTATGGGAAGCACTGAGCTCAGAATTAGGCAGATTACTTTCCAGTTGCACTATTTATGGTATTTAATGTTCACATGTTCACTGTGAACTTTCATGCAGGTACATGGAAACACGTGAAAATGCAAGCACTCCTTTTTTGTTTGTTACTAATCTTTACAGAGCATCATGGACATTGTCTGGAAAATGTAGCTCACAACTATGGACAAAGTGTCTTAGTGTGTATCCTTTAGGATACTATGGGAAAATGTTCTTTCAGCTATTTTTTATGTTTACTATTCTCTTGCATAGTTTCTTCCAAAGCCAGAAATATCTCTTTTCCTCTTTCTGTACTTTCTTCTCACCTCAATCAGTTATAGATATAAATATGAGATGCAGAAATTTGTGCTTGATCTCTGCTATTCCTGCTCTGAGCCCCCTTCAGGATGAGAAGTGTTCTCAGACTGCTCACCATGCATGAGCCCTAAGTCCTTTTGTTCCCCATCATCTAGAATCTCCCTTTCCCAGAAAGTGCTTTGAAATCTGGTCTATTGTATAGTATCTAAAAATGTTCACATTTCCTTGTAGGCTGTCATCCTCTCAGTTTTGTGACAAGTTAAAAAACGAAGATATGAAGACATTAATCCATATGTGAAGTAAACTGGGTCAATGAGGGACTCTGGTACTCTTACTTTTTGGACTATAGTTCTGACTCTACATTACTTTATGCCTATAACTTTTAACCATGAAAATAAGGACATAAATTGTAAACAGTATTTCAGGGGATTTTGAAATATTATATAAAATATAGAAAGCATGTGAAAGTAATATGCAATCAGTGAGAAAGGAAAAGAAGGAGAAAGGAAGGACAGGAAGAGGAAGATGATAATCATTATTCTCTCTAGTTCCCTTTTCTAAATTAAAAAAGACAGAATAACTGGTACCCTAACAACACATACACTCAATCAAACTGTTTCCTTCAGGGACCCAATTAATGTTGGAAGAATGTGAACCAACTCACTGCTTCTTCTGGGAAGAACACAGACTCTTATTTCTTCAAGTCCATGGCCTTAACACCCATGGGTACTGAGCACAGGAAAATTCAAGGTTTACACCAATAGCAACATTCTTTCAGGAACCCAAGCATCATCTTTTTCTGCCATGTAAAAGCTTCTCAGTGGGGCATAGGTATCTTGTAAATAAGGGGATAGCTGTTCACTGCTAAGGTTGCAGCCAACTGAATATTCTGGGAATCTTGAGGTCTGAGAAGATTCATGAGCTAAGCAACTGTCCTTCACTGCTGAGTGCAGTGGTGAAGCCCTTTTCCTGTTATTCTTTGCCAGCTCAGTGGAGAGCAAACAGGTGCTTCAGGAGCACTTTCACTTCTTCAGCACGGGTGTCCTGGACCGTTAGAGGGATTTTCACCCAGGTAGTGATAATTAGATGTGTTATACACAACTTCAAGGTCATCTTCACTCCAACTGCAAGTTAGAGAATATTTTCAATGCTGTGTCTAAGGTTTCATTCTTTCCTTGTTTGCAGATGTAATGGGAGATGTTTGGCCTCAGAATGTGAGAGAATTGGGAACAATGAGACAGTGATTAGAATCATCCATTATTTTTTCTACTGTCAGTACATAACTATCAGTAATTCTCCCCATACAGCATGATTTTAATTTGCTGCCAATTTAGGACAAAGGTTTCTGAGTCAGTCCACTAACACATTTTATGATCTAAACTCTGGATCAACTTGGAGGAAGTACAGGGTGATTTAGGGAGATTGGGCACAGACATGGGAATCTCTGACAATGAAAATTGTGACTTAGTCTTTCTGTCCTTGTTAACTTTCTTGTGCAGGTTTTGCTTCATTTGAAAGGGGAATGATGGTGCTCTTTAATATAATTCTCAATTTTCATTTCTACAGAAATCTCAAAGAAGAATGGCCATAGCAAATCATTCTACATCAACCTTGTTTGCTTTACTGGGTTTAACACAGCAGCCAGAGCTCCAGCTGCCTCTCTTCCTCCTGTTCCTAGGAATCTATGTGGTGACAGTAGTGGGGAACCTGGGCATGATCCTCCTGATTGCAGCCAGCCCTCTGCTTCACACCCCTATGTATTATTTCCTCAGCTGCTTGTCCTTCATCGATCTCTGCTATTCAACAGTCATCACCCCCAAAATGCTGGTGAACTTTGTAAAGAAGAAGAATACAATACTTTATTCTGAGTGCATGGCCCAGCTCTTTTTCTTTGTAGTCTTCGTGGTGGCCGAGGGTTACCTCCTAACTGCCATGGCATATGATCGCTATGTTGCTATCTGTAGTCCACTGCTTTATAATGTGACCATGTCCCCTTGGCTCTGCTCACTACTTGTGCTGATTGCCTTCATCCTGGGTGTTCTGTCTGCTGTGGCCCATACAAGTGCCATGATGAAACTGAGCTTCTGCAAATCCCACAACATCAGTCATTACTTCTGTGATGTTCTTCCCCTCCTCAATCTCTCCTGCTCCAACACACACCTCAATGAGCTCCTACTCTTTGTTGTTGCGGGGTTCAACTCCTTGGTGCCTACCCTGGCTGTTGCCATCTCCTATGCCTTCATCTTCTACAGCATCCTTCACATCCGCTCCTCAGATGGTCGGTTCAAAGCTTTTGGAACTTGCAGCTCTCATCTCATAGCTGTGGGGATCTTCTTTGGGTCTATCACCTTCATGTATTTCAAGCCCCCTTCAAGTAGCTCTCTAGACCAGGAGAAGGTGTCCTCTGTGTTCTATACTACAGTGATCCCCATGCTGAACCCTTTAATATACAGTCTGAGGAACACGGATGTGAAGAAAGCATTGAGGAAGGTCTTATTGGGGCAATGAAATTATTTTTTGAGAGTTTATAGATGGGAAAAATGAATAATATGTTTTTGTTCATTTTTATTTGTTGTTCTGATGTAAGATGCATAATATCAAGGATTTCTTTTCTTTTTTTTCTGGGAATTGTACCCAGGGCTTTCTGCACTTTGTGTAATTAAGTACTCTACCATCAAACTACATCCTCAGTTTCAAGATCTACGTTAAAAAAGTACTTTCCAATCTAGAGTCAACTCAGTGTTTAAATAAAATAGAAAACATTTTGTATTAGCATTCCTGTGTTTTGACAGAAAAAAAAAATTTGTGTTTAGATAGTTTTGTTTCCTTACTGTGATATAAGATAAATGTTCTTCTCTTCCCAATATTCCATGCTTGCTTATTGAAGACTGCTATGTGAAGGGTACTGAGTTATTGATAGAACAACAGAAATTGACTAGAAAAAGAAGAAAAGAAAGAGAGAGAGAAAGAATTAGAGAAAGGGAGAACTCAAACAAGCAAACACAGGAGAAAGAGTTACAGAAGAAGAACCATAATTTTAGTCAAAAGGTCTTATTAAATTTGCTTTCATTATTTATTTTCCATTTAACATATGCAAAAATCCTTTATTTCCATTTCTTTGGTTGTTTTGAACCCTCTCTACTGAGATACAGAATAAGGGAAGCTTGTGCCACATTCTATCTTAATTTGTTATCATATCTATATTGTTAGTCAATGTAGTTAGACATGAGAAACCATGTAGGAGCATAAGAATTAGGGAAAAGAAAAGAAAGAACATATCTTTAGTCCCTGATGATATAATTTTCTATCTTGAAATCCCTAGAGACTCAATGTTCAAACTAACACAAGATAAGAAGAGGCAAATTAACCCTCATAAATTATTTAAAATAGCAACAAGAAGATAATATACATGCTACTATATTTTTTTTAAATGTAAAATCAATTTAAGAGAAACATTCAAGTACTCCTGAAAGGTAGAGAAGTGGGGTTGAACAAATGAAAAGATACTTGCTTTTCTTAGAATGATTAAACATTTAAATATACTAGTTTATCCCTGAGCATAGTGGTGCATGCCTGTAATTCCAGCAGCTAGGGAGACTGAGGCATGAGGATTGAGAGTTCAAAGCTAGCCTCAGCAAAAGTGATGAACTAAGTCACTCAGTGAGAACTTAACTCTAAATAAAATACAAAATAGGGCTGAGGATGTGACTCAGTGGTCAATTCCTGGTACCCTACATAAATAGAGTACTTTTCCCTAAATTATACATTTAACACAGCTTCCATATAAATATCAAAATATATTTTTTATGGTTAGGTTTCTCAAATTTACTGAAATATCTTTATTAGCTTACTGAAGTACATTTGAAATATATATATATATATATATATATATATATATATATATATATATATATATATAAAATGTAAAATTTCATTAATTTTAACACATAAATATACCTTTGAACCTGTCACCACACTCAAGATAATAAACATTTAGTTCAACCTCAAGAGTGTTTTTTTTTACATCTATCCCCAAACAATAATTGATTTATATTTTGTCTCAGCATATTATTGGCATTTCCTCTTTCATGCAAATGTAATCATACAGTATGTATCAATGTGTCCTTGGCATTTCTTCACTCATAATAGTGATATAAATATCCATCTATGAATTCATTTTTATAGCTTATCATTTATCCGTTGCCACAATATATCCATTTATTTGTTAATGATAATTTGGGTCATTTTAGCTATTACAAATAAATTGCTATGAACTTTCATGTCTGGTTTTATGTGGACAACATATATTGATATTTCTTTCGAGCAAACACCTTCAAGTAAAAAACATGGATTGTATGATACCTATTTTTAAAACTGCCAAACTATATTCTGATGTGGAAAATTTTTACATTTTCAATAGTTATGCAAGAGAGTTACAATTGGTCTATATCATCACCCAATATTTGGTTTTATATTTTTCATTTTAATTTTAGGAATTGAAATCTGTAGGTATTAATGTCTCATTTTTTTTTACTTTTCCTCCTAACAAATGATACCAAACTAATGATACTAATGTTTTTATGTGCTTATTGTTTATTTATTTATTTGGGAAGCATCCGGATAAATTCTTCTGCATGTTTTGCTACCGAGTTTTTGAGTTTTTTATTATTGAATTGTACTTAACTATTTATTCTGGGTTTACTCTCTTTCTGGATGCAAGACCTCTATCACATGTGTGTTCTGCAAATATTTTATCCTAATCTCTGATTTGCTTTTCCTATTTTAAATAGTGTGTTGTTTAAATATAAAGTTATTTAATTTTGATGTTCAATTTTTAATTTTTAAATTATGTGTTTGTGTAATCCTCTGGAAAGCATTTATATACTTCAGAATTACAAAATACCTTCTCAGAGGTTTTTTTTTTCTCTAAAATTTTTATAGTTTAGGTTTCACAATTGGGTCTACAAACCATTTTGAGTAAATGTTTATACAATCTTTTAAGAATCCTCAGGGACTCTTCTTTTAAGAGTCCTGAGTGTCTGGGGATGTAGCTCAGTGTGAATGCACAAGGCTCTGGGTTTGATTCCAAGTGCTACACACACACACACACACACACACACACACACACACAATATCCTCAGGTAGTTATTTTATTGTTGTTGACCAGATTTCTTTTTTTAAAATGGGTAGGTGGATCACTGGATTTCTGATTGTCATTACTGAGACTGGTAGGCATTGTTAGGTCATATTTATAATGGTTCATGTCAACATTGTTTCTGGACATCAGAAGTAATATGAATGATCATATATAAGACATTATTATTTTTCCATCTTTACAGAGGCACAATAGTTTTGAATATGAAATATGAATCAGAAAAATCTACCAAATGAACTGTATAGTACATCCACACACAAAAAAATTTGATTTTTGGAGTATTCATATCACTTATACAGTGAATAAAATAAAAGAAAAACCACAAAATGAGTAATAGATCTGTGAAGGAATATAAGCAGAAACAAATCAACCCAACTGAATTTTAAATTGATAATATAAGCACAGTGGTGGGGGATATAGCTTTGGGTTGTAACATTAGTCGTGTTTTTTTAACATTGTTTCTTCAGGTCAAAGAAGAACAAAAGCAAAACTAAACAAACACACACAAAAAAAGAAAACCTTGCCAACCAATACATAGCTTTCCTAATAGGTGTTTTGTTGTTTTTTGTTTGTTTGTTTGTTTTTTATTTTTTGTTTTTTTTCCAATGTTGTGGGTTAACACAGGTCTCCAATACTAGTAAAACAAAAGCAAATGAGAGCCAAAGAAGAAGAAAGAAAATAATCAAAACAAGTGATAACTAATCAAAACAAATGAATAAATGAACAAGAAAAATAAATTAAATAAGACCAAATTAAAATTAATAAAAACCAAACAGAAAACAAAACGAAGTCTTTATTTCTGAGATCAATAAAATCAATGTCCTTCTAAATAGACTGATCAGCAGAAGAATAAAAAGATAAATTGCCAATATAAAGAATGAGTGATGTAACATCTGCAAATTGTACACATTTAAGAATGAATAGTATGAGTAATTATAAACATGACTGAGCATGATTGAGAAATTTCTGGAATGCAGATGAACATAGATAATACTGTGACAGATACAAACAACCAAAATTCACTGAAATGGAAGTGGATAACTAGGATTTCCCTCTATCTTTTTAATTGAATTACAAAATCTTCATACAAAGAAAATGAATCAGATTGTTTTTATAGTAAATCCTATTAACCAGTGAAGGAAGCAAAACTACCAACTCTACAAATGTAGTTCCAAAAACTTGGAGAAAGACTTCCTACCAAGTTCTATGAAGCTAGAATGCCCCTGATACCTAAACCTTATAAAGATATCACATGAGGGGAAAACTGTAAGAAAACTTCTGCCTTGAATAGATGTAAAATTCTAAACAAAACAGATCTAATATGTTAAGGAGAAATATGTTATGTCAAAGTGTAGTTTATTCCAAGGAGTTAATATTGGTCTAACTTTTTTTATTTTTTTAATATAATGTAATTGATAATATTTTTAAAAACTAAAAAAAATTCAATAACAAAAAAAGATAAAACTCAGCATTATTTTCTGATTTAATTGAAAAAGCTCTTAATAAACTAGAGAAATTCTTTATTCTGAAAAAGAAAAAAAAATAGAGTGAATGTCATATTTAATTATGAATGACTGAATGATTTCTCCCTGAGACTAAAAGCAAAAATATAAGCATTCTTCACTCCAATCAACTAATTTGCTGGAGATTCCAAGCATTTCAGTAAGTAAAATAAAAAATAAAAGATACCAATGTTGGAAATGAAGAAGATAACTATAGAAAAATCTACTGAAATCCTCAAAACCACTCTTGGAAATAATGGGTACATTTAGCAAAACTTCAGGGTATTAACATACAAAAATAAATTGTGTTTCTACATACTAACAAGAAACCACTAAAACTTAATATAAAAATAAATCTATTTATGGTAGCATCAACACATGGGAAATATTTAGGTGTATAGCTGACAAAACATGTATTAAAAACTCTCTATACTGAAAAGACAAAATATTGCTGAGAATAGATGTCAAAAAAAGGTATGGTGTTCCATGTTGGTGTATTCTTATTACAATGCTCTTCAAATTGATCTTAACATTCACTATGATCACTAAACCTACCCAATGTGAAAACCTATTATAAAGTTGCTGTCATAAAGACAGGAGTTTGGCATCAAGATTCACAAGTAGACAACAGAAAAGAACAGACAGTGTAGAAATTGATCCACACATATATGGACAACCAATGTTTTACAATAGCACAAAGGCATCTTATTGATCAAAAGGTAGTCTATTCAACAAGTATTATTAGAACCAATTAAGTGATGCAAAAATTAAACTTTGATCCATACTTGACATACACATGATGGATAGAATACCTAAATGTACAACCTGAAACTGAAGTTTCTCGAAGAAAG